GCAAAAAAAAAAAACCAGTACAGTGGGGTCGGGGCATAGTGGGGACGGAGCATAGTTGGGTCAGGGCATATTGGGGACGGGGAGGTCACAGGTTTACAGGAATTTTTAAATCTGAAAGTGATAAAATCACTTTCGAAAAACGCTTCGATGCAAATCGGTAGTTAGTATTTTCAAGCCAGTACAGTCCAAACCAAGCACAGTATAAACCAGCAAAGTTAGAAAGTTTTAAATGAAGATTCTGTATTTACAAATGAGCATCAAAGCGTTTATTTGAAAGCGATTTAATTCAATTTTATCACTTTTATTTATAATAATTCTTGTAGACCTGTGATCTCTCCGTTTCCTCATTGCTTTGATTACATTATGCCAATACTCTACTGTACTAGTCCTCTCGGATAAAATCACTTTCAAATTAACGCTTTGATGCTCATTTGTAAATACAGAATCTTCATTTAAAACTTTCTAACTTTGCTGGTTTATACTGTGCTTGGTTTGGACTGTACTGGCTTGAAAATACTAACTACCGATTTGCATCGAAGCGTTTTTCGAAAGTGATTTTATCACTTTCAGATTTAAAAATTCCTGTAAACCTGTGACCTCCCGTCCCCAATATGCCCTGACCCAACTATGCTCCGTCCCCACTATGCCCCGACCCCACTGTACTGGTTTTTTTAAATATTATTTCTAAATCTTGTCTACAAAAACGCTAGTTTTTATTTTGGTGGTAACTTGTACTGCGTAGTCAAACTTTTATGACGTAGTTTGTTGTTTACTTTATCAATTTTTATTATTTTATAAAAAAAACAATTTGTCAACATAATATAACTAACTGTATATGGATTCTATTAAGTCACAGTTGATATAAAGTTGATTTGAACAGAACTCTACTTGTTGTGGATTGACTAAATTTAATTGAAGTAACTCTAAATTGGCAGCCATTTCGTGAGAAATGATAACATGAGCTGTTTATAAAAATACACTACTACAAAAAAAAAAAACGAGCCAAACCTAACAGTATACAGAATTGAAGTATTTTTAATGTGATAACAGGAAAACCAAGCAAATATAAAAATAAAATAAATAAGACTACAAATAAAGGTGGTATTCTTATTGAATCTAAAACTGAAATTTGTAATGAATTAAATGACTAATGTAGTTTAAAGATATTAATAATAACAAAGACAGTATATATTTTCTTAATCCAATTATTATTATTTTTATTACACATAATATAGTAAAATAACAAGACATAGGACATGTGTTATTTGGTCCACTATATTTTTGCAAAAATTATTGGTAGACATGACGTAAAACAGAAATTAGCGTACAATATTATGTACATAAAAATGTATTATGTGGAATACGTTATTGAAAAAATCCACCAACCGTTTTTTCCCGGTCAGCTTAATTATATGTATATATTTTAGGTATAACGAAAAAGTGACAATAATAAGGAAAATAATAATATTATTTTACGGAACAAATATAGTGTATTCGGAAGGTGTGGGTAGATTTTGTGGCTGTCCACGTTGTAACAAATCCTCGAGTGATTCTCCTGGTTGGTCATCTGCGTTTATTTTTGACCACGTGGCACCGAATTTCCTGTATCTTATTTGGGTGTCATTTTTATCCTTAAAGATACATGTACGGCTAGTTGACTCAATCCTAACTTCTTTTATGTATAATTCTGGAGATTGGGTACTCAAGTACAATCCTAGCAAACGACAATTTGGTAGTAAAGAGGCCTGATCATTTACACGCTCCACAGGTTCACCTAAAAAATTTGAAATTTTTTTTTATTATGCTAATATAAACTTACTAGTTTACTACTTTTCTTTATGGTGCAGGACAAAACTATTTTATTTGTTAATACGAAGTCATATAAAAATAATACACTAAGCATAGTGTCCGTATTGTACTGCTATTATATTTGTATAAAATGAAAGTACGTGTGAGTAGTTTAAATTGATCTGGTTAATAGTTAATAATTAAAATCAGTTGTACACTTGTTCCTTTTAAATAACTTAAAAAACATATGTATATATATAAATATATTATAAGTGTTCAAAACCCATACAACTCCATTAAAATATTTACCCAATAAACGACGTCTAATTACATTTCTTAAAGTTGGAACGACAAATTTTCTTGTCTCGTTTGCAATTTCTTTCAAAGTTCCAAAACCTATAAAAATAGTTATTAAATGACCGTGTTACGAAGAAATAATAAAAACAAAAAATATATTAGTCGCTCTTTATACATAATTATTGCATTACATTTCATAGCATTGTGAAATAAATAACTTATTTTACAACCACTTGTTAGTGTTAAAACTCAACAAATATATTCTTTCTATTGAAGTCCCTAAGAATTTATTACATATTAACACTGTGACCACACTCAACAAAAAATTGAACTTATTAAAATCGTTATCTAACATAGAAAATCAAATAAATTAAATGAGAGTGAATTATTAACTATAAAACAAGCTTTTAAGACTATTTATGAATATCAAACAAATGGTAATTACTAGTAGCGTAAGTTAATTCCACTCTATATCCTGTAACAAACACATTAAACATCAAATCATTATGCAGAATATAAAACCCGCTTAATATATTTTATACATAACATTCACTCTATAACTTAGGTTAACTCAATCAATATTAATTAATGCAAAATGGTATTGTAAAAATTTAAATTTATATCATATACCTATGTTTAAATAAACTGTTTAAATTTTACTTTGAATAATTCTTAAAAGCTTAACAATGTATAGCTTGGTGACTTGATGTTATTAATCCAGTTTTTCTTTAAAACTACAAAAATAATTTACTCTTTTTTTTTTATATTTACTTTCAATAAGTGCTGCACCTATGAATCGTATCATATGATCGAGAAATAAATTGGCTTCTGAAATTTAAAACAAAATATATTATAATATACTTACTTATTTTTTATGATTGAAACCGTGTGTCATATTGGTATAGGTATTTTGTCAATAGGTACATATGATTAGTCTCAAAGTATTTGTAAATATGAAATATGAAATATTAAAAGTGGTTTTTACTTTGCGTTTGATTTAAATGAAGATCTGTTTGACCTGAAACTTAAACAAAAATCTTGTTTGCATAAAGAATATCAAACAACTGTTGCATAACATAGAGAAAATAATTGGCTTCTAAATTTTAAAACAAAATACATTTTAATGTACCTACATATTTTTTATGAATGAAACCGATATGTCATTTATATTGATATTTGTCAATATATACATAAGATTATTCTCAAAGTATTTAGAAATAATAAATATAAAAAGGGATTTTTACTTTGCGATGGCTGCGGATCTGAAATTAAACAAAAATCTTGTTTGCATAAAGAATATCAAACAACTGTGTGGAATCGCTTCCGTAAAGTGTAATGAAAATTATTACCCGCTACATGGGATAAAATATCTCTTGCTTCTGAAATGAACAACACATAAATTAATGATATTTCATTTAATTTACTATTCTATTATGATCAGGAAGACAAATTTCGAAGTAGAAAAAACATGTTTATTAAAAACTCGAAAGAAATATGCTCCACTGTATATTTGATACGATGAGTCTCTTTAGAAAATCCAATAGGAATGAAATATTGGAAATATTTTCATAAAATTTAACAAGAACTATTACCCGGTACAGCGATCAAAAAATTAATTTTGCCTGAAATTTACATTACATAAATTAATGATATTGAATTTGATTTGCTATGATAAATTATTACTACAATGTATAATTATTAGAGCTGGGACCTCGAATCGAATTTTTCTATTATTCGAATTATTCGAATAACCGAATAATACTATTCGTATGAAAATAATTCAAATAATTCGAATATTCGGATTTTCGAATATTTTGTCAAATTTATGTTTTTTTGTAATTTATTATAAATCTATATAAATTGTTAAAATCTTATTTTTTGTAATAAGTAATAATATTTATTTTGTCAAAAGATGAATTCGTTAAAATTATATTTATTTGTAAAAAAAATATTAAAAATAGATCAAGGACACCTTGGTTGTCTCTTAATTATTTTTTTTTTAATTTAAGTAATCCTGCAAAGAAAATGATAAAATATTCTAATATTCGAAAAATCACATCGAATATTCGAATTTTTTTTATTCGAATAGCCCACCACTAATAATTATAAATTAGAAGACGAAGGTCAAAGTAGAAAAAAAATATGAAATTAAATAGACTAGGGAACCCTTATAAAATGTAATGGCTGAGTTGATGCAGTATTTTTTCATAAAGCTACTATTTAGATTTCGATGAAAAATATAATAATTATAACACTCGTCATTTGCATAAAGAGAAACGTGAGATGCATTTTTTATAAGATTTTCAAATAATTCTTTTCTACTCTTGCCTTGATGTTTTGTATTATTATTATAAAATATGATTACAGAAATTCTCGTAAGTATATTGATTATTGATATCATCAACCATTTCCTCAATAACAACCTCCAAACCATCTAGAATAAACAAATGAAGATTTAGGCTATACTAAAATAATAAAATCAAATCAAATTAGGTACAATACAAATGTTTAGAATAATATTAAATCCGACTTTGAGCAGTAGCCATTTAAGATCACTTTTCTCCTTTGATTAGATTACTAAAAATCGCTAATGTAAAAATTATAATACACTATTATGCTCTGTACACTGTTCTACATATCTGGTACACCTTTCTTAACTATTAATAAAAACTAAAATTTTTATTTACTTGACAGTTAGATAGATGTAACAAAGCTTCTATATATTATATTAGTATATTATTATAAATATAATATCTTACTTAATCCACGTCTACCATCTATAGTATCTATGCCATTCTTAAAATAAACAATTTTGAAGACTGCAGCTGAGATACATAATTTAAAACATTTGTATAAAAACAGTGGATTTTGAAAACTTAAAAATCATTTGTTTATAATATAAAATTATTACTGACTTGAACTCAAAACATTATCCATATAATCCGACTCTGTGAAAAAGTGAAATATTAAATTTTTTAAAATTTGAACTACCTTAAGTTGATAACCGTGAAAATAAAATAATTACCATCATCTGCCAAAACACCCGCAAGGAATAGAAAAGATATTAATAAACTGAAGAGTTTCATTATTATCTGCGAATAATAATAAATAAAAAAAAACATTTTATATTAGTCATAGTTGCCTTTTGTGCTGATATGAGAAGGTTAGGTTAGGTATGATTTTGCAAGGCAGTTTCAATATGATAAATATTTCCTAGACAGTTAAACGGATTGTTATGTAAAGGAAGGTAAAAATCTACCTCAAAAGGTACTTGATTTGGCCAAAATTACAGTTATTTCACCATATTAAGGATACACAAAGAAAAACCAGGTCTGTTAACAATTTCAGTTGCGTTGTATGAAAAAGTTAGGTTACACTATTCAAAATAGAAATTAGAAAAATTAGTATACATACTTAATGTCGTTATTACATTCGATTTTACGAAGTGACATTATACACCTAATTTTCAAGCGTCTAAACTTGACTACGCATAATAAAATCTTATTTTTAGAGCGTTTTAATTTCTGTCTAATATACGTGTACAAATTTGTTTTTAGCTTTCCGTTTTAAAATCGTCAAAAATAAAATTAAAAACTTAAAAACATGCAAAACAATTTTTTACGCATAATTTTTCTTAGTCAACCGCGAGTGGATCGAAAGCGAAACTATTCATGAGTTTATAGTGGAAAGAAGAAAACATTTTAGAAAGAATGTCATACCCGTTTTAAAAAATATCTTTAGAAATATAGTTATTACCGTTATAAAAAAAAAACAGTACAGTGGGGTCGGTGCATAGTGGGGACGGAACATAGTTGGGTCGGGGCATATTGGGGATGGGGAGGTCACAGGTTTACAGGAATTTTTAAATCTGAAAGTGATAAAATCACTTTCGAAAAAACGCTTCGATGCAAATCGGTAGTTAGTATTTTCAAGCCAGTACAGTCCAAACCAAGCACAGTATAAACCAGCAAAGTTAGAAAGTCTTAAATGAAGGTTCTGTATTTACAAATGAGCATCAAAGCGTTTATTTGAAAGCGATTTTATCCAAGAGGACTAGTACAGTAGAGTATTGGCATAATGTAATCAAAGCAATGAGGAAACGGAGAGGTCACAGGTCTACAAGAATTATTATAAATTAAAGTGATAAAATTGAATAAAATCGCTTTCAAATAAACGCTTTGATGCTCATTTGTAAATACAGAACCTTCATTTAAGACTTTCTAACTTTGCTGGTTAAAACTGTGCTTGGTTTGGACTGTACTGGCTTGAAAATACTAACTACCGATTTGCATCGAAGCGTTTTTTCGAAAGTGATTTTATCACTTTCAGATTTAAAAATTCCTGTAAACCTGTGACCTCCCCGTCCCCAATATGCCCCGACCCAACTATGTTCCGTCCCCACTATGCACCGCCCCACTGTACTGGTTTTTTTTTTTTGCAAAAACTTAGTGGACCAAATAACACATAACAATGTCTTGTTATATTTTGTTGGAATGGTCGACGATTCATGTTTCAATCGTTTGTACTCCATAGTTTAAATTATAATCGCTTATTCTCAATAAAATTAATATTTATGTATTATATACTTCCATTGAAGCAATCTCACACAAACTATTTATACTTCACAGATTATATTATTTCAAAGCTATATTATACTTCTATTTTACTAGATTGACAATGTACAAAATAAAATGCAACTAAAAAAACCTTTTCATAGATCCTTAAAATGCAAAGGGTGGGATAGTGAAACGGGTTTTACCATTTAAATACATTAGAAAATCGCCGTTTTACTGCCCCATCCTGTATATTAATTTCTTGTTATTTTCTAAAGAAAAATCGATTTTCTTACATTTAAATTAAAATAAATCGTATACTGGTACTGTAATGGAGAAAACAATAAATTTTACCTACATATATTACTTATTAGTTAAATATTACTAACGTGTATGGCCACTAGCGGTCTGCTGTTGCCTGTTATTTAACAATAACCTTTTATGGAGATTTTAAAAATTGTGTTTTTTTAATAATAGCATAAGAGCAGTATCATAATGTTAAATGTTCACGAGATTTGTTCTAGTCATAAAATAAAGTATTATCATTTATGACTTAATTATTATTAAAATTTATCTTCATCTGTACATAGTAATAAAATAATGAAATATTTTATACAAAATTAGAGCTACAAGTTGATAAACTAAAAATTTAAAATTAGCACAAAGCAGATTATCTAATATTAGACAATTTAAACAATCAAGCGTGAATCTCTTTAAATGAATAACAGTATAACAATATACAAAACATTAGTTTTCCTTTAAAAAAATTGTGTAATAAAAAATACATTTTGAGGCGGTATACTGCATAAAAACCAACACTTAATCTGAATCCAAAAAACAACAGTCCTCTTCATAATTTGCAGGTAGTTGGACCTTATATACTCATAGTTGACCTTCGGTAAGGTTATATAACGCAGGCTATAAAATAACGAGATAACGACAGTGGTTTTGTCGTATCAGAATCATTAAATATCTTAAATAAGTACACGGATAGGTTTTTTTCCCAATAAATCGAGTGTCTACTATAATCAGTTACACGATTTAGTCGCCTATGATATCATGTAATAAACACAATATTATGATACCGATCATTGGGCCCTAACCTAATCTAACACGGATAGACGTTACCAACTGATAGTTTTTAGTGTCTGTTCGTTTCTCACATCTGGTACACCGGGTTTTTAGTTAAAAAAAAAAATTGAATTTGTGTAAACTTTAAGTCAAGAGTGGTACTTGAGCACAAAACCTAATAGTATCATTCTGCATAGATATACATAAAATTGTTTTAATGATTTGATCAATTTGTTTTAAAGATTTTAGGAGTTTTTGTTAAAATATACGAAATCTGCGAAAACACAGTTTCCCGGCAATTAAAAAAAAAACAGTAGTGCCGAATTTTTTTCCCGTTTAATATGTTATGGGTACATATGAGTTCCAACTACTGGCAAATTTTCAACCCAAAAGTTTTAGAATTTCCGCTAAAAACCCCGAAAAACAAAAAAACTTGTACCCCCCCTAGGGGGGTGGGAAATGGGTATAGTTTAAGTTTGACACAACTAACGTGTGCGGGCATACCAAATAATTATTTCTTATACATTTCAACTCGATCCAACTCTTTTTCTCGAAATTATAGCCGTTATAATTTCTAACTTAAAAACTCGTACGGTTTTTTTTTGTTTTTTCAACTTTCGTCTGTGAAGAATTAAACTTTTTCAACTTTTACCCCCCCAAAGTACCAACTAGATTAAATTTGCGATTTATAGAGTTGCTATTCAAAGGAATTGGTCAAGTATTAAAAAAGTTACAGTGTATACAGCGAAAAAAAAAGCCCACATCAGAGTAAAACCAATACCTTCTCGCTTTGCATCAAAGCTAAAATATTGAAATATTTTTTCCAAATTGTACACTTAGATGTAGTGAAAAAATTCAATTTTATAAATCGTTTTCATAATAGATCACAAAAGTAGCGTCTTGATAATAAAGTAAAAAAACCAGTACAGTGGGGTCAGTGCATAGTGGGGACGGAGCATAGTTGGGTCGGGGCATAGTGGGTACGGGGAGGTCACAGGTTTACAGGAATTTTTAAATCTGAAAGTGATAAAATCGCTTTCGAAAAAACGCTTCGATGCAAATCGGTAGTTAGTATTTTCAAGCCAGTACAGTCCAAACCAAGCACAGTATAAACCAGCAAAGTTAGAAAGTTTTAAATTAAGGTTCTGTATTTACAAATGAGCATCAAAGCGTTTATTTGAAAGTGATTTTATCCGAGAGGACTAGTACAGTAAAGTATAGGCATAATGTAATCCAAGCAATGAGGAAACGGAGAGTTCACAGGTCTACAGGAATTATTATAAATAAAAGTGATAAAATTGAATATTGTGTGTATTGCAGAGACACGCTCCCGCTTACTCCATACACCTCGGAAGTGGGTGTCATTAATATTGACTTGCAACGCAATCTAGGTTCACATTGGGTAGCTTACCGGAAACAAGGACAACACGTTAGTTATTTCGATAGTTTTGGAAACTTACCACCACCACTGGAGGTACAAAAGTATTTTATAGACTGCACGATTGACTACAACTACAGTCGTTATCAAAAGTTCAACACGATTAATTGTGGACATTGGTGCGTGCGATTTCTGCTGAACACGCTCGATAATTGTTACAACAGTGACGTTAAGCGGTGAGGGGTCCGAATTGCAATGTATATTCAACCCTACGCTGGAAGTGAGTGACCACTGTGAAATTGGTTTGTTGAGTTTGCACACGTGGAACACTATACCAAGTGTTGATGAGCGAAACAACAAGTTTATCGTTGGTACACTGGTCCCCGATGGCGATGATCTGCAGTAGCAACAGGAAGCTGCTCCTCAACCGAATGTTGTTGTCGATGGTCGAAACAACAACAGTACCAAAATGATTGTATCTTCACCGGAAGCAGTTCACCTCTTTATGTGGTTTCAATACCCACGGGATCGTATGAATTTGAAGACATCAAAAAGATTATCACAACCGATTGGCCAAAGGAAATGAATTCGTTTCAAATAATTGGTAATCACAATACCATGCGGTGTGAAATAACCAGTGATTATCCAGTTGATTTCACTCCTCGGGACTCGATTGGTGAATTGCTTGGATTCCACCCGAGGGTGTTGGAAGCTCATTGATGAAGATTATCAGTGTGACGTGTATAAGAGTGGATTGCAACGTGATTGAAGGATTATTCCACAGCGGTCGTCAGTCACACACGTTGCACGAATTCTTTCCTAACGTTGCTCCGGGTTACCGTATCATAGAGTGTCCCAAACATGTGGTATACTATCCTCTAAACACATCGCAGTTGAGCACATTGAACATCCAGTTGCGTGATCAAGACGGACACAAGATCAACCTACAGAACGAACAATTGACCGTACATTTGTGCATGCATTTGTTTGATGAGATCCGGTACGAAGTTAACGGCAAAGAGATTGACAAGGTTAAAAACGTCGGAGTAGTGACTACAATCAAAGGATTTTGTTCTTTTACTTCCAGTGATATCACACGGATGCAACCGGCCGGATGGAAACACATCAATGACAACCAGACCAGTCGAGACCTGATGGACACGACAGAGTTTTTTGCACAGTATCCACTATCGGCTTGCATGGGCTTTTTCGAACGGTTCCGTCGTGTCCTGATCAACTGTACACAATCACTTGTGCTCATACGATCGAGCCGGGACATTGGAGCCATAGAGTTGATACAACCGGATGAGAGCATGAAGACTGAAGTAAATACCCCGGCAAACGTTGACCTACTCAAACAGACCACAGTGAACATTACTAAAATCAAATAAATCGTGAAATACTTTGAACCCAATGTGAAAACAGAATTGGGTCTAATGCGTATTCTGGACGGAAAGCGGTGGTTGCCTTTGGAATATCAACACTGGGTCATTGCGGTGTATCCTTTGGTACCTCAAACCACTCATCACACATGGTCGGTACGAACGTTTTCAAACGTTGAGAAACCACGGTATTTGCTAATAGAACTGGGCAAAGAACATTCCAAACTATCTCAATCGGACTTTCATCACTGTACACTGCGCAATGTCAAGGCTTACTTGAACTCTGACGAGTACCCGTACGAAAACTACAATGCTGATTTTGAAGCTGACAAACACACTTCAATGTACAATGCGTACACTCGTTTTCAAACAATATACTATGGACGTACCAATCCTCAACCTTTACTGGACCGTGTCCACTACAAGAATCTTGGACCAATCATAGTCATTGACTGTTCGAAACAGAATGACACTGTTAAATCGTCTACGGTTGACTTACGTATAGACTTTGAATGCGCCAAAGCTTTTCCACAAAACACTTCATTGTACTGTGTTATTATACACGACTGTCAGATGGAGTACAATGCATTTAGTGGAGAAGTTAGGAAATTATAATTGTATATATACTTTGTTTAAATAATAATATCTTATCAGATCCAAATCGGCAAATATGTTGAAATATTTACCCTGCAAACAAATTATAAGATTTAGCAAATTATAAGAAGTAAGATTTTTCATCGTTTACAAAAAATTAATACCTTTATTCTAGGACTGTTTTTTACAAAGATGATTCTTGAAGCGAAATCCAAACATTTCTCCATATACTCGGTGTTTATGATTTTATGAAAACATATCATACACTCGTTAATTTTATTTTTTGGCATTGTCAGTTTGTCAGTATCATTGTCAGTTTGTCATTATCAATGTTGTTGACAACATTTTTCATTATCATTTTTATTTCTCGTACGATCCGTGGTCTTGTAAGTATCAACTTTCGGTATATGTTATCAAATATTATATTCTTTAATTTATACATCCGCTTTGCCATTTCGAGAGTCAGCGAAATGCCTATTTTCCAGATTGGACACATTGTAGCCGTTGTATGGTTCATAAATGATTGTGTCTCAATCACCATGTAAGATTTCCTTGTGTATGCTTCTATTACTCGCATGGTAGTTTGCTCATCTTGCAATATAACTATACCGTCCAAGCTCCCGGATAGTGATGAGAAGTATGGATAAATTGCATATAATCGTTGTAAAAATTGTATATTTACAGCAATCTGATCGATTCCACCGACAATTACAATTTTCGGCCAAAATAAATCTCTAGAGTCCAGTCCAATGTGCATGTAGGTAGAGAATCGATATCATACACTGAAGTGTCGATTAAGTAATCTGAGTGTTGTTGTTGCTGCTGTTTCTGTTGGCTTTCAAGTTGTTTATCGATTTTTTTTGACAAGTCCATCTTGAATCACTACTCACACTAAACTAAAATTTAATTTATGAAAAACCCAATATATTATAACCATTAAAAAGATAACACAATCTTATCATACACGAATGTGAGTGTACCATATAGAAGAGATTACACGCGCGCAGCAATGATAAACATGTCACACGTTTGCCTTTTGGTTACTCATAAAACATTTTTTTCCCGTTAGGTTAGGTCATAAATCTGTGTGGGATAAGAGTATGATAATATTCCGATTTGACGTCACCGCGAGGATACGACGGCAGTCAATATGACGGCAGCATAAGTACACTCGTGTGATGTCAATTTTTGCAAAAAAATTATACACGTCAGCACTTTCCATTGATAACATTGGAATTTTAATAGGTTTTTAATTGCCCGCGGCATGCACCTGTGATAACATTGGAATTTTAAGTGCCCGCGGCAAGTACCTGTGATAACATTGCAATTTTAATGGGTTTTTAATTGCCCGCGGCTTCCTTTGATGCCTAGAACCGCCATGCATATGTGACTACATTGTTGTGATAATGGGTTTTAATTGACGGCGGCATCCCTGTGATGCCCAGAACCGGCATGCATATATAAATACATTGTAGTTTAAATGGGTTTTTAATTGTTGGCGGCATCCCTTTGATGCCCAGAACCGGCATTTATAACACTACTCATGCACTTCAATAACTTTTAAATTGAGACTGGTGTACTAAAAATGTTGAATGGTCGATAACAAGTTTTTGATAACGTTTTTTAAAGTACTTAAGGGGCCTCTAAACTAGAATTTATCAAGGCACATTTTATAGGTAAATTTGACTAAAAAGTTTAAATAAATACTACCATAGGAAAGAAGTATCGATTTTGATATTTTTTTTTCAACTTTTATAACGCATATAAGATTTATTTTTGTACAAAAACATATTTTTTTACTTCAAACGTAGTGTCCTTAAGAATACATCGATTTAAGTTTTTAAAAAAACATTCGAATTCTTCACAACATTTTCAAGGTATCGGTCGTACACAATTTTAAAATCAGTAAATTAATTATTTCAATATAAATTAAATGCAATTTTTAAGCTATTTCAACTAAAATTAAAAACATTTAACATAAACAAACATCAAGAATATACGAACATTTTTTTTTTAATAATAACTGTTAAAAATTAAAATCAAAGTGCTTAAAGTGTTTATTTGAAAGTGGTTCTGTCACTTTTGTTAAAAAATAATTCCTGTAGACCTGTAACCTCTCCGTACCTATTGCTTTGGTCACATTATGCCTCGACCCCACTGTACAAGCTTACTAGGACAAAATCACTTTCACATAAACGCTTTGATACGTACTATGCTTACTATGCAATGCGTAGTTATAACAAGAGTTTTGCATCATTCTAATAAAATATACTAAACAATTATCTAGATAACAAATTATTCAAAGTTCTTTGTTAAAAAATATATTAAAACAATTTTAAAAAATATCATTTAAATAGTCTATAAGTGTTTTTTTTAAGTAATTGTATTTAAAATTATTATTTTGAAACATTTAATACATTCTACATTTAGAAAATATAAAAAAACAATTTCGTATATTACTTACTAAATAATTGCAATGATAGTTGTACTGGCTGCTTCAATGGTTTTTTTACGATTGATCAAATGGCTTATGTATTGCCGACCGAAACAATAATATCTAGATGTATTTTGCAAAACTGTTTATTCAAATTGGTTAGCATAAGCAACATTTGTCATTTTTCGTTATGAATAACATATTAATATTACTCTGAAGCTTAATACCAAGTAGAGAATAATATTAAATTTACTTAATACTATCGTAGTATGAGTAACGATATAGTAAAGGTGGGGTCTCAGCGGAGGTCTGTGTACACAATTTTAAACTTACAAAACAATTTGTGCAAACGATAACATACAAAAAACACGTAATAATACAAATATCAGATTCAAATGTTTTTTAACCCAGAAGAAAAATATAGAATCAAATTTGTACGGAGATTACAGTTTTTTTTTTATAAAGAAGCCATTGTAATTTGAATGTGATTAATTACATTGTATCCACTCAGATTCGTAAATTGGGTGTGTTTAATGTTTCGTCAATATAAACATGTAACTATTTTAGACAAAATATAATTTTTTTTGCTGCAAATTATAGCTAATAAAATTGATATTTTGCAAATTAACGAAAATTTGGTATATTTTCAATAAAACGATAACCTGATTGAGCGTTTAAACTACTCTTAGTATTTAAAAATAACGTAATTGTAAATAAATCCCAAAAATTCAATTATTACTATAACTCGAATACTGGTATTAATAAGTATATTCGAAGGGTCATTAAATATTCCAAAATATATTTTCAAAGCCACATCTTTTGCCCACCAATGTTTTTCGCCTATTAGATTCAAAACGTCTGCCTGCTTATGCGAGTAGCACAAAGTAGGAAGTCGTTGCGGTAAGAAAGGCATGCCCAAAAACCTTGATCTTGACCACTTATGTTTAAGGCTCCGCCTGTTAAATCATAGATTATATAACACCAGACGGTGCACTTCTTCATTTACTAATAACTGAAATCCTCCTCAACTTGTGTGACCAAATTCTAGAAATTCAGTTATTGTGAAAAACACTTTACTATAATATCAAATCAGTTATAACATCAGTGAACCCAGTGATACTCAGTTCTGAAATAATAATTTCTCATAAATAGTTTTTTTTCCGACGATGGTTACTCTGAGTTGAGAAGGGTTTTGATTTATTTACATTTTCAGCAATTACTTGATCAACCAGTTTATCAATCACTAATAATTGCATCTAGTTAACGCATGGGGGTGCGGCTGTAAAATATAAAAAATTTCACTTCTTCAATCTTAAAAATAGAGATCAACCCCTCCCCCGAATAAAAAATTAAGTCAATGCAATTGGGTATGCCTCTTTAACAAATTATTTTTCGACCAAAATTTCATCACACTTCTTCTCTTGAAGAGGGGTAACATTTTAGTATTTTAACCGTGTTTTAAGGATTTGTGATCTATAGTTTGTACTAAAAATTGGTCTAATATACAGGGTGATCCAACTAACGTAAGACACTCATTTTCTCTGAAAGTATGAATATTTTGCGAATTTTTTTTTTCCTAAAATTTTAGGTACATATTTAGCTACATTTTTCAATATTTAGAAAAATTTTATCTTCAACCCTTATACGTTAAATAAGTACGAACCTCGTTTTTTCAAATGGGAACATATGTTTTAAATTCCATAAATATAAAGACAAAAAATCTAAAAAAATGTTAGCGTTTGAATTTTTAATTTTCATCCATTTGTTCGCTGTTTATGACTTTGTAAAGATTTGAATTTTTGTCTATATTTCTTAATAATTTCATTCGATTCGACAAAGACAAGTAGTTTTATTACGACGGTCATCACATCAAATATAATAATAATTTGATGTTAACGCATTCCGTATCATAATCAGATATAATAAATAACCATACATTATTAGACGAAAGGTAGACTGTTACGGATAACGGACTTTACACTTTAACCTAATCTAGCTGGAGCTAGTCATTAGCTGGTTATCTCGGATAACAATCTAGTATCTAAACTATGCATCAGTTACCACGGAATAATCGAGTGACCAGTACCCATAATATATTTTATTATTTGTACAAAATCGCATTATATTTATTATTTGTACATAACCTCATCGCTAACAAATTTCGACTTCGAAGTTCACACGTTTTCCATTAGTGAAATGAGAAATTGCAAACTTAATTAAAAAATGTTAGTAAATTTACATTATACTTTATAGTAAATATGATAGCATGCTTATTGTAGTTATGTCATAACTCGTTATTTTATAATTTTTTAAATATATCAATTGATAATATTTGCTCTCGACTTTATTTTGACGTTACATTCTTGGACACACCATTAATTTAATAGGTAAGTGTATTAAAGTTTAATAGATAATTTAATACAATACGAATTCAATTAGCTTTTTTATTTTAGGTTGAATGCTTTTTTCCGAAAATCTTTTATCATTTAAAAATCAATGTTATCATGTCAGAAATATCTATGGCGTTGAGAATATACCAATTACTATGGAAATGTCTTTTCAATTGGACCCAAGACTGAAGACCTTACAATTGTATATCAAGGTGTAAATTATAAATATAAAGCATTAATTTAATAGGTAACTTTATTAGAGTTTAATGGGTAATTTAATACAGTACGATTTCAATTAGCTTTTTTAATTTAGGTTGAATGCTTTTTTACTGAAAATATTTCATCTTTTAAAAACCAATGTTATCATGTAAAATTGGTTTTGAGTATGACATATCAATTGCTATGGAAATGTCTTCTCAATCGGACCCAAGACCTTACAATTATATATCAAGGTGTAAATTATAAGTATAAAACATTTATTTCTAATGTGACATTTTTTCATGTGAATGTATAATATCAACACTAAGCAATTTGAATGAAAAGTGTGTTGTGTTAACTTAAAATAATTATTAATGCATGTATTTGTGTATGTGGGTTGATAATACTCATATACCCGTTTCATTTATTTTTAAAAATATCAGTAATTAATGTATGAATTTCATACTACTACATACAAGGAATCGCTTCTTGATTATACCAATATTTATAATAATATGTAAGTATATTATTTTTATTTGATTAAACTTATCTAAGGTAGTTCAAATGTCTGCTTTCAGTTTAGTTATTTCTTACAATGATATAACCCATATATTGTGTGTCTGACATACATTACGGATATTTTATCATAAAGTTTTAGCTATAACTGACACAGGTATTTGGCTATCAAAGTTAAATTTTATATCAAATTTATTAATATACAATAATTCTCTCTTTAAAAAAGTAGTAATTCTATTAATTTGTATTTAATGAATTCAGTAAATCAAGTAAATTATTTTTTTGAACTTGCCTAAGATAATTCTTATAGTTAATTTTATTTATTGAATTTTGATTTTGTTAGATTTGTTTAATTACCAACGATTGTTAAAAGAAAAAAATTTAAATCAGTATTATAGAAGTTGAACAATTTCAAATGTATAGATATTGTTTTTGTTTAATATTTTTGATTGAATATTTTCAAAATAGTAACATTTGTAATTTTTAAATTTATTGTTGTATTAATAATTAGTTTATGAATATTTTATTAGTTAAATACTTATATTATCAGACAAAAGATTATTATTGTTCTTTAAATGTTATACTATACTATATATTTGTCGTTGAAATTTATCAACACAATTGTTTGACTATGTGTTATCAATGTTCAAATTTTGTAAACTACACAGTAAAAATTAATAAAAATTGTTTTTTAACTCTTTAAAGTAGGAAAATTGTCGCATACGCATTACAGCAAATATTCTTTTAACCATTATTTGCATCATTAAAGGTAAACAAATTTTATTTTTAACAACTATGCATTATAAGTTAGTATAATTGATTTTATAATTATTTGTATTCATACATAAATATAGTATACATGTATGTATGTGTATAAAATCAGACAAACTTGTCGCGTACAAATTCCATAAAATTTAAATCCTTAAAAATGTGTTTTATTACAGAATAATTGTTAAATTTAGATACTACAATTTAGCTAAGGCTATTTTTGATTTAATATTGCCACTTTTACATAATCTTAGTAAAACGTACCCGTTATAATAGTTTAATAATGTCAATACTTTAATTTGTATAGTAAACAAGGAAATATCAAATAATGGTTTTCTTTTTAAACAACTAAAATCTATTAAGCTTTTAATTTTCTAGATACTAAATAGTGAAGAAAATAATAAAAATAAGAAAATACTGATTATACATAAAATCAAAATAAGCAGATTCAACTGTAAAAGAATTAACTTTTCAATTTGAAATTTTTGAAACAGACATATTTTATTATAAAGGCTTTAGAATCACTATTATTATAACATTATACACCTTATAAGTTATAATAATAATTAGTAAGTACTAATAAAAAGATTAGAAACATATAAACTATTTAATTTAATAGTTATTAATAAAATAAAAAAGACAAGTTCTGATAATTTAATGTTTGCGTGACACAAACCCTAACTTTATTTCTGAAGTTTGAGTATCACTGTGTGATTTTGTGTAATTGAGTCACAAACTATTGATCCATATTTTTATTAACGGGATCTTAATAAGAAATAACTTGACTTAAAAAAAAATGAAATATCAATGATGTTGAAAAATTTACCGTTACAGAAAAATCAAATCTTTTTTGCCAACAGGATGGGGAAAACAGAAAAAAAAGTAAAAGTACTTTGAATCACAGTTTGGAACTACCGGCTTAAGTTAAGTCGATAATTAATACAATTTCAAACTTAACTGTGATTTTGTTGTAGGTTCCTAAAACACTGTTTACAAACATCTAGTCTTTAGACATCTTAATCATTTAAACACAGTCCACTTTATTGCATTATTTTTTATTAATAAAGTTGTTTATATAATAAAAAAAAGTTAGTTATAAATGTAAAATAAGCAACATTTTAAATATTTACTGTAGAATTAAAATAGTAAGCAAATTAAATCCAAAATTCCTTATTTAGTGTAAATTGTTTAAAACAATTATTTGAGCACAGAACATATTTTGAATAAATTGAACATAACTAAACAAATAATAGTAACGCTTCGCGACGCTTGTCCATTCAATGTATGCACTTATGAGATTGT